GCCCGCCCGCTCCCCGGCCGGAGGCGGGAGCCCCCCAGCATCCCGGCTGCCGCCCACCTTGCTGCGGTACCAGCTCTCGGCCTCGGCCCGGCTGCGGCTGGCGATGTCGTCGTACTGGGCCTTGATCTCGGCGATGACGCAGTCCATGTTCAGGTCGCGGCTGTTGTCCATCTTGACGACCACCGAGGTGTCTGAGATGTGGGCGTGGAGCACGCGGATCTCCTGCGGGTGGGGGGTGTTGAGAGCTCTCTAGTGGCCCCACTCTCAGCAGTCTGCTTTCAGGGTGTCCCTGACCTCCGCTCCTTTAACCGTCACTGTTGGGGGCCCCTCCAGGGTCAGGCCTTCCTTCAGCCTGGGGCCTCTCAATGTCCCCGGGGTGCCCAGGCTGCGAGAAGCCCATGTCTGGGGCCCCCTGATTGCAGTCGGGGCCACTACCCTCCGCCCTTTGAGATTATCTCCGCGGTGACCAGGGTCACCAGCTCGTCTGGGGCCTGTCAGATGAGTTACCAGGTTAAACTTCCTTCACTACTGACAGTAAATCTGACTTAGGCCTCAGTGCTAGTCAGCGCTGCCCCTTCAAGGGGTGCAGAAGCCAGAGGCCGGCCAGCGCTTCCCAGGTCCCAGCCACCTCATCCTGTTCCCTGCTCCGTCAGCCCTCACCTCCTCATACAGCCGCCGCAGGAAGTCGATCTCCTGGGTCAGGGCCTCCGCGTTGGCCTCCAGGTCTGACTTGCGCAGGTAGGCGCAGTCCACATCCTACAAGGAGAATGAGGCCCAGGGTTTCACTGGCGAGACGACAGCGTGGGGTGGGGGCTGGCTTCACGGTCTTAGTGAAATGCTCTATGCAGTTAAGGGGTTAGGAGCAGGTCTGGATAAGAGAGGGGGACCCCTGCGCCCTCCCCGGCGATGCGGGGGTTAAGGTGCAGCACTATGAACCTGTCGCAGCCCCTGTAGCACGAGTTTGATTCCAGCCAGGGAGGGACCCACAGGGCGCAGCAGACCTCTCCTGACCTCCCCTCAGAGTGTTTCAGTGGATCCGCCTATTCTGCTCCCCACTCTGTCTCTGGTGAATCCTCTCACCCCCCCGCACCTGTGGCCTGTATCCCAGTTCTGAATGCATAAATAAATACATCTTAAAAAAAGAAGAAGGGGGGATCCCAGACACTTCCCCTGGGACCCAGTGGGTTGACTTCTCCCGAATCTCTTACGTTGTCACTGGAACTTAGGATCCAGTGTCAAGCGGGCCATTTCAAGGGATTTGCCACCCCCTCCCTGGCTCTAGAATCTCTAGAATTACATGGTAAACATCTAGATGGTGGGTGGTGAGAAGAAGAGGTGTTGGGGACCAGCTCCGCCCCTTCCCAGCTGCTGGGACTCAGCAAGATGCTTGACTGCTGGTCCTCGGCTGCGCCCTCTTCTGGAGGAGGCCGGGGGCCCGGTGGGCACTGGCTGGATGGCCCCTGTGCAGGGCAAGCCTAAGAGCTGAGGAGCGAGGCCAGCCAGCCCCTCTGGCTGTGCCCTGCTGGGCGCTCAGCTCTTTCGCCTGCCAGTCTCCGAGTGGTGAGTGGCTGTTGTCTGCCCGGCAGGTGGTGGAGGGGGCGGGAAGCCGTGGCCAGGGAACTCCCTTGGAAGGGCAGAATGCTGCCCTGGTGCACCCGAGAAGGGGAGAGGCCATGCTGAGCCTGGGGCAGTGCTCAGCCTTTCCGTCTCTCTTGCCTCTGCCCCCAGGGTGAGTTGTGGGAGGACACACACCTTTTTCAGAGTCACAAATTCATTCTCAGCGGTGGCCCTGAGTGCCACCTCCTCTTCGTACCTGGGGACAAAGGACACAAAGTTGAGGGGCTATTTGAAGAGAAAGAGGAGAGCACGAAGGCCCAGACACGTCCAGGGAGCGGCTCCTTTGGAGGGCCAAGGGGCAAAAGCTGTCCGCTGGACACTCAAACCACCCGTGCCCCAGAGTGCCTCCCAGTTTCAGAGCCTCATTTCCGGGGTGGCGGGGGGAGGGGCTAAGGGGTGAGGGTGGGTGTGGTGCCTTACACGGGGCAGCACGAATTCTCCCCAAAGGTGATCCTCGAGTTCTCCCCAAAGGTGACCCTCGAATTCTCCCCAAAGGTGACCCTCGAATTCCCCCCTCCCCCCGCCCCCATTGTCTTCTTCCTATTGGAAGCTTCCTCTTAAGGTCTGGCCTGACTCTGCTTTGTCTTACTCCCACCTCGTCTGTCCGAGCCCTCCTGCCGCACTCACTTCTTCTTGTAGCCCTCCAGCACCTCCTGCACGTGGTTGAGCTCGGCGGCCAGCCGCCCGCTGTCGGCCTCCACGCTCTCGGCCTCCCGCCTCAGCGTCTCGATGTAGCCGTTGAACAGCGGCTCCAGGTTGCTCTCGCAGCACTGGCGGTTCTGGTAGAACTGCCACTTGGTCTCCAGCAGCTTGTTCTGCTGCTCCAGGAAGCGCACCTGGTTCGGCAGTGAGAGGAAGGTTGGCGGGAAGCCGGTGCTTCCAGCCTCCTCAGAGGGGGCAGAGCCAAAGCAGAGCTGTCAGAGGCCAGGCTGGAGGGCAGGGCCGCTGCTGGGCACCGCCTGGCCGGAGGAAGCTCCAGGAGAGCCCCTGGCTCATGACTGCTTGGTCAGGTCTCAGGAGGCCTGTCCAGGTGGGTCTGGATTAGAAGCGTGAGAATCCAGGGCCTGTGCTGGGTTTCTGTGGGACCGGGTGGGTGGTGGTGAGGGGAGGGGCCAGGCAGGGGTTGAGGATAATGGGGGGGAGGGGCGGGGCACAGGCGGCAGGCTTCTGGAGGAAAGGAGTGGGGAGCAGGGCTGGGCAGGACAGACCCGGATGAAAGCCTTTTACTGTGAGCTCTCCAGGGCAGGGCCTGTGGTTTCTGTCCTCAAAGGCAAGCGCAGGGCTCCATGAGCAGTTGTTTGGATGGATGGTCAAGGTGGGGAAAGGGATTCCTAGGGGTGGCGGGAGACATGGGCAGGCGGGTGTGGTTCTAGGTGGCCTGCATTCCTATACTGGACACTCTGATGGCTCTGGAGGCCAGGCAGGGGATGTGAGAGGGGAGGGTTTTGGAACATGGGGAGGGCGAGGACTTCGGGGCAGAGGCGCGCAGGCCTTGCTGGGGGGCATTCACACCCCGGAAGGAGCCAGGGCATCAACGCATTGCACTGGCCAGAAAGGACGTGCACAAAGGACTCGGCCCTCGTGGCCTCCAGTGTCCACATCTCGCACTTTGTAGCTGGGCTTGAGATGCTCCTTTGCCACGGTATCCTGTCCTCCACCCCAGTGAGTGCAGAGTGCAGCTAGGAAACCCCAGGCTAGAAGCCCAGGAACGGGGGATGGACACTCTGGTCTTACTGGGTGACTTCAGGTGGTCTGAGCTGACAGGGACTGAGCGGTGGTGGGGTCTCCTGGCTACTGGGGAGTCCTCGTCAGCTTACACGCACAGCACACCCAGCTCTGGGGAGAGCACCGGGGTTGCGAGGAGAAGCCAGGGCCCAGGTCACACAGTGCTGCGGGCGAGTGGGCATGGCCATCAGGCGGCCTGCTCTGCTCCCTGGCGGCCAGTACTCAGGGCAGTTGCAGAGGGGCACAGGATGGGAACCCCAAACTTTGGGCACCTGCGCCCTGGGGGCCTGGCGAGTTGGAGTCTGGGCTTGGCGTTCTCCGGTGCTGCTAGGTGGGTCAGCACCATGGCCCTCACTCCTTTCTGTTCTGTGTGCAAAGGACCAGACAGCTGGCCGAGGTTCTCGATGTCCACCCTTCCCAGGCTGACGTCAGGATTTTCTCATCCCCGAGTGCCATTTTACTCATGACATTCACACTCAAGTGGAGTTGAAGGATGAGTTTATATTCCCACTCTAGTTGCAAACCCCGTATCACTGGGCATCCGTAAAGGGAAACAGCAGAACATTCAATTTAGCTAAAACTGTTACGCCGGTCAGCGCGGACCAGTTCTTCACCAGAGACCCTCTCAGTAAGTCTCAATTCACTCACCCTCTTAGCTCAAAGCAGGAGAGTGGCAAGTATTTAGAGAGAGAGAGAGGCTAAGCGAAAGGCATCAGAGACAGGCAGAAGGCGCTGCCATTTCCTCCAGCTGATTTAGGGCTTGAAACAGGAAAGGAGACAAGTCCTGGG